GCGCTCGAAACGCACCCTTGATTTTCTGCTCATAATTTCCTCCTGAGGCATTTTAGAGGAAAACTCCTGTTACGAGAATAAAACGCCATTGAATTGGCGACCAAACTGTGTTTGAAGTGTCAAAATCGCCTCAAAAACAGTGAGTGTGGAGGCAAAAGAAGCGGGCGGTCACATTCCGCCTTGATAGTTGGCCCATAGTTTTCCTCCGGTGCCTTTTGCAGGAAAACTCCCTTAACGAAAGCCAAAGCCAATAGAACTATCTTGAAAAGGCGGCGCTAATGCGGAAAATTCACTAACAAACAGCAAAGCTATGGGCAAAAGAAGCGTATTAGCGGCCAGGCCGAACAGCCCATCAACCAACCACTCATTCCTCATCCATTCCAACACATATCCGAAATGTTGGTATTTCTTTGGGTATTCCGGCAGCCTCCGGTTGCCGATGGTATCAACCCGAAGAATTTCCTCGGGCATTCAAAGACTGGAATTCTTCGATTTAAGCCACGCGATAATTTCGGCTGAACACTGCTTATTGGACACGCCTAATTAGTTCTGGTGGAACGGGCGGAACAGCTGCCGATGCTCAGGCACAACACGCACAGTGTTTTGTTGTGCTGCGGCCAGTGGCGTGTCCACAGGGCGCCGCACAACTTCATCAAACCTGCTTTCGATCGCACCAATCGCGCTTTATTGTTTTGCTCCGCAACTGAGCCCCCGGGCGGAAAAGGGCATTCTTGATGAAATGTGGGGGGTGCCCCCAGGTATCCGCTGGCTTTGCCCACGCGTGCCCCGGCTGGATTGGGGGGAATGGGCAAATACGAAAGAGCGGGCCGAAAGGCATATAAAAGTTGGTAGTCGCTTTTCCGCTAACCCCCCAGCAGGGGGCGAAAGACGATTGTGCGCTTGGGCGCCAAAAACTGGGGAGAAACCAGGAGAAGCTCCCCATTTTGGGCCCCCCTTCTCCCGCCCGCCAAGTTTCGCAACCTCCATCCTCAGGCCATCGACACCCTCCCAACTAGTTACCTGTTGCGACAAGCTGCCTCTGCTGTAGTAATTGTGATAAAACAACAATCCCATGTAGAGCACAAACACAGCGAAGAGGAGCAGCTGGAACAAGCGGCGACAGCGCGGCATTTTCGTCTTGTCCAGGGTGAAGACCGCCGGCTCACCCTTGTCCATTTTGCGCCCACATGGGCATGCGAACCACCCCGACAAAAACACTCACTATAAACAAATCGAGCGTCGTACCATCGCAAGATCAGGCGCGGCCCCAACTTGCTACCAGCGGCTTAAAAACACTACTAAATGGTACCAAACAATCGCAATGGGCCTGGTGTCTGTTTATACTGTTAAAGCGCGTGCGATTGGTCAATGGGGCTCCGCTCAGGTCAATGAGGGGCCTTCACCATCCAGTCGGGGACCTCCACAAAGTACTGAAATGGGGGCCCCCCACTGTGCGGCGCATTTGCCAATCCGCCCAGACCATGCGTGCGAAGATTTCTAAACAAACGCTCACAATTCGATAGGGGCACGACCACTGAAGGCCTGTGGCCCCTTCGTGTGGCCCCAAAGGGCCCCAAAGGGGGCTGATCAGTTGGCGCCCCGAACTGTGTTGACGTTACTGTCAGCCAGGCGCATTCACCCTTCAAACCCGCTTGGAAGCCCAACTGGAGCCAACGCCCATAGGTGGCGCCAGCTGCCTGCGGCAATAAAGTGTTTTAATCGAGTTTTGAACGGGTTTTTGCAGGAAATGACGCAGATTTGGGGCTGAATTTTGGGGCCCCGATTGCTCCAATGGTAAAGCAGGTTGCGTGTTTGTGTTGTGCGCGTCGGTTGCGAGTTTTTTTGCCAAAATAACCGGCAATCGCGTGTTTTTCGCGATAAAAACTGTGCCACTTTGAAGCCGAAACTGTTCCCGACACAATGGTGTAAAGAGTTACGCGGTGCCCGACAGAATGGTGGAGAAAACGAAGTTATTGCCGACAGAATGGTGCAGAAAGTGGCCACTTTTCCTGTTTTCATTGGCTTAGTTTCCCTTATTTTGCTGCCCAGCTGTGCACCTTTCGCCACTGTTCCCTCCTCATCGCAATTTCCACGAAAAATGCTGGATTAGACGGGGTTTTCCTGCCTTTTCCCCAATCCCCGCTCGGTCTGGACGTGAACCACCAGATTGTCCCTCTATTTGTGCTTTAAAAAAGGAACTTCTTCGTTTTTCCTTAAACTGAAGTTCGGTCCCATTCACTTGATGACTAAACTCAGGTCAGAGGTGTTTATATGGGAAGTTCGATCAGGTTTAACCCATTGCTTGACGACTGCTAGACAGTTTGGTGAATGCGCCCGATATGCAACTGTCCTGATATGTCCAACCTTGCGACTGTCCTGATATCCGTTCTGATTTCGCACCCCTTGTTCACTTAAGGCGCTTCGCATCGCGTGACAAGGCCCGAGATTAAAATGTCCCCAAAAAGGGCCCCGAAGGCGCTAACTGGACACCGGAAAAGGGGCGTCCGGACGTTAATTTCGTCCGGGATTGGCATCTGTCCGAACGATGCCGCGCTCAAATTGTCCTTTCGCTAAATGATTGAAGCATTTTCGCCGGCCGTAGCCGGAAAATCTGGGTTCTCGTCCGGGGGCGGAATGGGGCTCCCCTTTAAGACACTCTTGGCACATTAAGCGCACCGTTTTTTGCATTATTTTTCCCTTGCTGGGCCAAAGTTTGTCTAATTGCCGGAATTAGTTCAAGTTGCTGGCGCTCTAATCCGCTGAGAGCGCCATTAGCTGGCAAGTCTTCGCATAAATTGCCGTGTTTAGAGTGGGAAATTGAAGTTTTGCATGGGATGATCGTGTCCTGCCCGCTCTGGCCAATCGAGTGGCGGAAAATTAGGCGATTTTGCCATCGCGAATGCCCGGGCACGGCGCCCCGAACAAATTAGGAAGTTTGTATGCTGTAGCGGGCAGGATTTCGCGGGTTGCCGAAGAGTATACGGCCACTTGATGATGATAAGTTGGAATGGCGCCACTCCGAAATCCGTAAAGCCACTCAACTGCATGTTTTACGACTGACCGAGGACGGTTTATTGCTGCCACTGTCACTGGAACGGTTCCCGTTCTTTTGGCAGATTTGTTAAATTACCTTCGGGAATTTATCTACTCGATGGCCCTCCCGGTTTCCCCGTTTTCGTTCGTGAACATTAAGCACCCTTAAGCGTGTGATTGGGTCGTGCGATGAGAAATCGCGAGCCTCTCAAAAGTCAGCGCTGTGGCTGTTTCGCAGGCTCAAAGGAGGATGGGGCGCCAGCTCCCAGACAGCTACTAACAATTATTTCTATGTATGTTTGGTTTTGCCGCACGCAACTGAAGTTCCATGGGTGCTAAAACACATTTTTTCGTTCTTTCCACGTTTTCGACTAGTTGAGGAGTTATCGCAACTTTTCCATGAGCGCACTTTTGCAAAAAAATGTCATCGTTAGGTCAACTTTGAAAATTTTTCTAAAATCATCCAAACCAGCCAGCTTTGGGAAACTTTCACATCTTAACCAGGCCATCAGCAGGTATTTTGGGTAAAAAGACCCAACATCTAGCTCGACTAGTTGAGGAGTTATCGCAACTTTCCATGAGCGCACTTTTGCAAAAAAAATGTCATTGTTAGGTCAAATTTGAAAATTTTTCTAAAATCATCCAAACCAGCCAGCTTTGGGAAACTTTCACATCTTAACCAGGCCATCAGCAGGTATTTTGGGTAAAAAGACCCAACATCTAGCTCGACTAGTTGAGGAGTTATCGCAACTTTTATATGAGCGCACTTTTGCAAAAAAA